ATTATCAATAACACAAATCAAAATTTGAATATATGTACACTAATTTTATAATCAAATAATTATATTTTTATTAATATTATTCAATAACAACAATCATTATAAATTTTTAATATTATACAAATTTTATTTTATTTTTTTATCTTTTTTAAGCAATTTTATTGGTATAAAATTTATAATAAAAAATTTCAGTGATTCTATTTACTACATCACAACAAATCATAAACCTAGTACAACCTGTACCTCTAAGCCAAAGCTGCTATCGCATTTATTTTTTATTCTTATTTTATTATTATCTATAGTTATTTTGAATATAAATATAAGGTAAATTATTATATTTGTTTGAACAAGTTAAAGAGCAACAAAGTCTTCAAATAAGATTAGAACGCAATCAAAATTAAAGAAACTAATATTTAAAAATAAAATAATAATATTATATTAATTTATTTTTTATATTCTTAATTTTATTATTATTAATATTTAATTATTATATTAATATATTATATTATAATTTTTTATTTATAATAAATAAAAATTATATTATACTCAAAACTAAAAATATTTATACACGATTACACGTGTTTAAAAAATAAATTTATTTAATTATAAATTATTATATTTGTTATATTTAAACAAGCTGAAGAAGAATAAGACACGATCAAAACTAAACGAATTAAAATTTAAAAATAAAATATTAATATTCTTTTTATAAATTTTTTATTTTTTTAATTTTATTATTATTAATATTCAATTATTATATTAATATATTATGTTATAATTTTTTATATTTATAATAAATAAAAATTACTTAAATATAAATTGTATTTTATTTGAAAGGAAAAAATTATAAAAAATGAAAAGAAAAGAAAATAAAAAATTTATTATAATATATATATATATATATATATAATCAGACCATGTAGCAAATAATATAAATAATATAATTATAAATAAATTATATAATAATATATATTTTTGTAACTTACACGTATTTTAATTAAATTATTAGTTAATTTATCATTTTATATGTAATATATAAGTGTATGTTTTAATTTATTATATCAGTAATATTTTCTATATTACATTAATGTTATAATGTAGTTAATTTTATATTTATTTGTTAATTTAAAATAACAAATTAATGAAATAAATAAAATTAAATATTTTGTAATTATTTTTTTAATTTAATAGTTATTATTATTGTGATTATATATATATATATATATATATATATATATATATTGCATTAAGTTTAAATTTATTTATTTTTTAAAACATAATAACTTTCTTTTAATTGATTCAAAAAATTGTTTGAATATTATTTTTTTTATCAATTTTATATGTTTACTGTAGCTTTATTTGTTGAATATAAAATGTCTTTAAACAAACAAAATATGTTTTTAAAATAAAAATAAAATATTTACTATTTATATAAATTTTAAAAAATAAATCAAAAAAAATATAAATATAAATTTTATTAATATAAAATATTTATAATTAATATTTAAATAATATTTTAAAAATTATTTATAAAATTATATTAATATTATTATAATTTTTTAATAATTATTAATTACATAGATAGAAATTAAAAAAATATATAAACTAATTTAATAATAAAATATTTATATTTTTATTAATATTAAATTTTTTTTTAGTAACAGGCTTTGTTAGCAAACTTCAGGTCAGGTCAAGCCACTTAAACAAAACAGGGTAGACCTAAAATAAAGCCTTTAACAGGTAACAAGTCTGGCTCAAGCCTAATAATTATGTTACAGGTCAAGCCTATTTAGAGTAAAGCCTAACCTGACCTGCTTTGTTTTCATCCTTATTACGTAGTTTAAATTAGGAAGGAATTATGTACAAAGTATAACATAGACTCAATGAATTCACTCCAACCGTGGATTTATAAAATTAATTGTAAAGTTAAAAGATTGAAGAAGAAAAATTCATTAGGAGAGTTAAAAGAGATAACTGTTACTCCTGGATTTATAAAATAACAGTTAACAACAAACAATGATTTTCATTAATCAACGTTTTCCAAAAGAATTCATATACAGAAGTCTTGTATATCGATCCAAATAATTTTCAATTCAAGATGGAATCTGACTTTGGTGAGATGATTCCCATTGAAGTGATGCTGGGTTCTCTCGGTGCCGGAGAAATTCAGGGTTGCAGCATTTCCAGAGTTCCGGATGAGCTACGATACCGAAAGAGGGCATTTTCAAGCCAAAAGTGGTCTACAAAGTTTAAATGTTCATTCAAAATTTTGGCTCATGCTTACAGCAGTGAGCAAGGAAGTGCATGGCAGTTCGAATCTTTGATATGCGAAACCAATTTTTCATATATTTATGTTTAATTCTTCCTAACAATTTACACAATAGGACCCGAGTATGTTTCCTTTTTCCACATCGTTTCCTGGGTCATTCTTATTTCCCTCTTCTTTTCTTTATGAAAAAATATTTTTTTTTACTAGTTCAATCCCATGATACAGATTCGCGGAAAAACCCTAAAGCGTAGAAAGAAGTAAGAACTTATTTTTGGCTCTACGCAAGTGATTATGGCGGTTGCTGAGAATGTGCTGAGAAGGAAGTAAGATGTTTAAGGACAACAGTGTAGTGTCGGCGGACTCCATTAAGGTTGAGGAGAAAACATCGCATTATATGACATTAATGACCAGTTTTTATATTTTATCATTCTATTAGTTAATTTTTTATTAATTAATTAGGATTTTAGCCATATGTCACAAAAGTATTGGTTGGGACCACAAATTACGTGCTAGTTTCTGACCATGCTAATTTTATTTATTAATCAAATCGTGTCCCTTAAAAATTAAGAAAAAAAAATGACAAAAGCAAAACATGCTAATTCAATCAAAATAGCAAAATATTAGTTAGGATAATTTCAATTTCTTAATCTGATCTAAATAAATTATAAGTTTTATTTATAATTAACTTCGATGAATTTTTATCTCAAAATTTAATTTAAACTAAACTGATAACATCCCTAAAACGGATCAATAAAAGAATAATTCAATTCATTAATCTATTAAATTTTTTGTTTTATAAATGAATGGATCAGTTAAAGGCCAACGGCAATTAAATGTAGTGAGGCTAATAGTCCTGTAGAATCTAATCGATCCACATGGGAATATATAAAAGTTCGTAGAAGATGTTATTGTTATTCGGCTGGTTCTGGATGTCGTTTTATATATCTAATCCTCACTAGTATAATTGACTCAAGTCGTCGTACATAGACTATGCGTACATTGAAATTTGGATATACTATCGGGTTTGTATTTGATGGATGGTTGAGGATTATAAAATCAATGATACACTTTATTGTTTAAGGTTTTTTATTCATTTTTAATTAATAAGTGATTCCTATATAATTCCAAAATGTAAAGGAAAAAACTTGTTTCTAAAATTTTCTTTACTATACTGTCAATTAATAATAATTATATTTATTATGTGATAATTGTTATTTAAATCTTTAAAAAAATAACTTGAGAATTTCATAAGATATTTGTTTTAAATTAAAAGTTTAATTATAATTTTTATTCTTGTATCACTCTTTCAAATTAGTTTTTTTTTTAATTATTAAAATTTAGTCTTTTATATACTGTCAAAATATTTAGAACTAATTTCTGCCATTAATTATTATCTATTAAGTGATAAGTTAAATAATAAAAATTTAATTTATTATTATTTTTAATATTTTATTATTTAAATATTAATATTTTTAAAAAGTCCTTAAACATCTTAAAAATTAAGAAAAAAGCGAAAAAATTGCATAGGAGTGAGAAGTTAACATTGAGGATATTATAGAGGTATGAGTATCTTCTTAAAGGCTCAACGGAATTATTGTGAGGTGATCATCAATCATTGTTACGGTGACTGCAGTCAGGTAAGAAGATATAATAGAATAAGACAAAGAAAAAAAGTAAAAAAAGAAAAAGACATTATTATCTGAAAATTTTAAAAATTAAGAAAAATAAATTATTTTTAAATAATTTTAAAATAAACATTATTTCTTATGTATAATAAGATTTAACGTGTTAATTAACGTAACAAATTGTTACTTTCTCTCTCTATACTTAATTTTAATATTTTTAATAAAAAAACTAAATTAATTAACAGTTAATATGACAGATAAGAGAATATTTAATTTACTTTTTAAAAATAGTTTATAACTTTTAAAAATAAATTAATTTTTTTTTAAAAATAGTTTATAACTTTTAAAAATAAATTAAAATACAATTTTAAAAAAAATCAAACATACTCTAACTCTTGACAATCTTTTTTTTTGTAAATTTTAAATAAATAATATATAAAAAATTATTATTATTATTATTATTAAAATTTTAAGTTGATACTTGTTATATGTTTATAGCAACTATTTACTATTGTTTAATTTGCTGTAAAGTCAAAACAATTTGAAAATGTAATCATTGTACATTATTTTTTATTTTTAGGTAAGAGACCATGAGTGTCTCCAAGTTCAAAGATTTAAAAACAAATCCTTACTATAATTCATAACTGTCATTGGCTTAAAAAAAAAATTACGCACGGTAAAATTTAAATACCAATTTTTTGGTTAAATAGATCAGTACACAAGTATCAACAACGTCTACTAGCACTAGGAAAGTCCATCTAAAAGAAAACCGCTAATAATATTATTTTCTTTTTATTGCTTAAATTCAGTGTAAAGTTCGATGCTCCATCCTCACTCTTCGAGTAATCCAACGGCTTCCCAGAAGTTACAGCGAAAGTTCTAATTTGTGTTTTTCATTTTTCCAGTTTTCTGTCCCATCTATAAAAGCATGTGTCGGGTTACAGCTGGAACAAAGGGTAAAGTTACATGCACTCAAGAATCTTTGCTCTATCTATTATCTATCTCTCTCTTTCCCCATTCACTGCTTCCTCTTCCTTGAAATCTTAGTAGTGTTACCCATTTCAGGTTTTAGCTCTTCCCGTCGACCCAATCAATTTTGCTAACTCAAGATGCAACAACAAGACTTTAGTTGGATGGTTCCCATCGAAGTGATGTTGGGTTCTTTCAACCACGGAGAAGTTCAGGCCTGCAGCATCTCTATCGTTCCGGACGAGATCCGAGAAGAGAAAGAAAAGTCTTTCAAGCCAAAATTTGTCTCCATAGGACCCTTACACAGGGGAACCACAAGGCACCTCCAATTAATGGAAGAACCCAAATGGAGTTACATGCGCGAGTTTCTCAACCGAACCGGAAACCGAACCGAAAACCGAAGAGCAGAGACACGGCTCAGAGACTGCGGCGCCGACATTCTCAAATTAGTTAAAGTAGTTAGCGCAAGCTATGGCGGTACTGTCCAATCAGAACCTAACGAGTTGGCTAAAATAATGATAGTAGATGGTTGCTTTCTGTTGGAGCTTCTAATCAAGCTCGGCGATTATATAACCCAACAGGGGAACCAAAGTAGTAGTAATTCCAACGACACCATTCTAGAAAACAAGGAAAAGGTTGTGTCTGTTTTGAACGATATCACAATGCTTGAGAATCAAATACCTTTCATTGTTCTGAAGAAGTTATATAGGAAGGTTTTCCAAGACAACAGTGTCATCGACAATGATCACCGTGTTGCTAACATTGTGCGCAAAGCCTTTGGCTACCCTGAAGTTGATAGTTCAGGAGGAGCTCATGTACTTCACCTAATGCACTTGTCCACTGTCCAGCAAGACCAACAGCAACAGAGTGAAGTTAATAAACGTGCAAAGAAAGAACTAAAGCGTTGTGCTGCAAGGCTTATAGCTGCTGGTGTAACAATTCAACCTGCCAAGGACGGCTCTCACCATAACTTAGTCGATAAGTTCAACTTTATGATAAATTTTAAAAACAGTGCGCTGGAAATTCCGGAGTTGCGTGTTAAGGAAACAACGGAAGTGAGGTGGAGAAATTTGATTGCTTGGGAACAGAGCAAGATTTGGGTAAGTTGCAAATACACTTCGTATGCTTTATTCTTTCAAGGTTTGATCTGTTGTAAGCATGACATTGAGATGCTTTTGGAGAAGGAAGTTATAATAAATGAGGCTAATAAGAGCAAGGAAGAATTGTTGGATCTGTTTCGCACAATGTCCAAGGGAGCTGAGCGAATGGATTCGAGTTATAGTGAAATTTGCAACAAGTTAAATGAATACCGAGGGAGAAAAATTAAAACGGTGTTGCAAAAGAAGCCTTTAGTCATTTGGCATAAGTGTAGACATGTGTTTGAGATCATGTTGTACTACTGGGGGAATTGGTACAGGATTTTGATTCGCGATCATATACCCACCGTGTGGAAATTTATAGGAGTGCTCGCAGCTGTTGCGCTTCTTGTTCTCACTATTATGCAGACTTATTATTCAGCTGAATCAGCTCACAGCAGTGGCAGTGGCAGTGGCGGTGGCGGTGGCAAAGGCAAAGGCTAGTTAACATTTAACTATTTCCTTGTTTCTGCAAGTTTCCACTGGTCAAAAGATTGCAAGAGATATGTAATCATGTGTTCATATTTTAGCTGTTATGCCAAATGAAAAAAGAAATGTGTAATCTGTTTTAAGCATAATGATTTTTCTGCCAGGAAAGTTGAAAAATCCTCTATAGCTGAATTTGGTGGGTGTCTGTACATATGTGCTTTATATCCAGGTAGATGAGTTCGGGACTTTTGAAGAGCTTCAACTCCCTGTTGAAGAGATGGGAAAGTGAAAATGCCTCTACTGCGTTTATTTATAAATTTATTATTTCACGATTCTTGCTCAACTATCTTCTAAGTATTGCTTAAAGAATTAATCAATAACAATTTTATTAAAAATAATACTAAAATATGTTAAAATACATTAAAATAAATATATTTAATTTTTAGTTTTTTCTATTAGAGCTCTTTGAACACTGATTAACATTTTTTTATTTCACTAGGAATAGTATTAATATGTAATTAAAAGTTCAGTAACAGCTATTATATTCCAACGACTTCGCCACATGATTCCATCAAGCTGCAATCCGTATTAAATATGGCTGGACAACACCACTTTTGTTTTAGTCGAGAACCCCACAACTTTACAAATATCACAATAAAAAATGTTTTAAGACCCCACAACTTTTGTTATTTTTTATCATATTTTTCTTTTATTTTCAACGAATAAATCGACAATAACCTATTTTATAATGTTTATTTACGTGCCTTGGGATTACTAATTTTATGTCATCTTTCATGTGAAATGAGTTCCAAGAGTCTGGATCACATGATGATTCGAAAAATTAATATAAAGGATTGATCAGAGAGGATTCGGATATTTTGTGCAGTCGTGCTGCCTCTACAGCAGGGATCACAGTCATTAATTTTATATCCAACGGTTATAAATAATTATAATATTTTCTAATTATTTTTAACATAAATCATGATTGGCTATTTTTGTGAGGGAGCAGGTGGGAGGGCTGCAGAGGATCCAAACTGGATTGAAGAAGAGAAAAGTAATAAAAAAAAAAAAGGAGCAAGTTATTTTTGGCAGAATATGTAAGTCAGTAAGTGCATTTATAATAATAAACAACATATAATTAATAGCTTTTTTCCATTCTACTGTATGATTTCTTTGTAAATACTAGAAGACCGCAATTGCTGAGGTGATATTATCTTCTATTTTATTTTATGAACTGCATTAAATTGTTTTAATTTACACAATCTTATTTTTTTTTACTTTCTAATTTTATTGAACAATTATTGGCATTAATTTATTTATTTTTTTGAAATGTCAAAGTGATCTATCTTCAATCTCACAATTTGGAGATGATGGGCTTTTTAAGGCAGAAAGAAGTGATTTAGAAAGTAAAATACACCTTAAGCACAAAAAGTGGTTAGGAACAAGGATATGAACTATTAAATTCTTGTAAGGCAAGATATATGAACAATAATGTGGGCGTTAATATTACATATAAATACATAACAAAATTAAAGTATTCACTTAATATGAGTTAATATATTTATCATTGAGAGTGTGCTATTTTCTTTGCATTTTCATACGAAAATCTCATATATGCTATTTCCATGAATTTATGAAATCTTTTATGTATTAAAAGTTTATGATTTTCTTTTAACGTTGGACTATAAAGTCTACATTTTGTGTTTTGCTAATTGTTTGTTTTAGTCTATTAAGACATGTGATTCTTTTATTCCTTATTTTCTCCTTGAACTTCCATGTCTTTGGTCTGTATCATGCAAATTGCTCTTGAAAGGATTTTCTTTGTTTATTACAATATACAGTTTGATAAGCTTAATCTAAGAGGATTAATCCTAAGCTTAGGGTGTGAGGCCTCCCTATAAAAAAATTATAAATTTATACCTATCATATCTCATCTGAAAAAAATATTAATTTTTTGTTTGATTGGTCAGATATAAAAGAAAAATATATTCATTTATCATCTTAAACTAACACTATTGATTTTTCCTTTAATTACTTTTAAGATTTCACAATCACAAATAGGATCAAAACCCTAGCCTATAATCAAGTGGTGCTTAATTCTATTCATAGACATTAAATTCATTGGTTTCGTTTTCTTTTGTATTAATATCTATTTCTTATTCCAACTACGTCATGCTCCAACTAATTGTTTCCTATTTAAAATTTCTTATTTTGTTGAAAACCGAATTTAAAGAAAAACTTGATTTTCGATTTGTTAATTTCTTATCATGTGTAGCAGAAAGAACCATTTTTCGGAGAATTTTCTTCGAAGTTGACTGTTGTATATGGTTATAAATCTTTGCTATGAAGTCTATGTCAAAAGTGTCATAATAAATAGGATGAGAAAAATTAAGAATATATATTTAGTGAATCTTTGGAGAAAAATAACCCGCAAAGGGGTTTTGGAACAATTTTTGCATATACTCTTTACTTTTTTTTATGCTTTCCTTAATCTATATCTGTTTAATTAAATGAGCTTAATGAATGTTAAACTATCAATGATTTATAGACACACTTAAATTATTAACTACAAATCATACATAACTATATTATCTTAATTGTTTTTAATTTAATTATCATATGCTTATAATTTAAATGAGTTTGAGTATATAGATTACCATGCTGGAAGGTTTAGTCTGTCATATAATATAGACGATGAAGTGGTGAAAGAAAATATGATAGTCGATAGTATTTAGAGGAGAATGAATCTATTTTATCTTATTGGTGATTAAAAGTTTTGCATTGATTCATCATAAAAGATGCAAATGATAGATTTTCGGTTATTGTGGCTATTGTCTTTTGCTTGAAAATGTAATGAGACATGAGAGAGAATTTATTTATGATTAGATTAGAAATATACATATCACTGTAGGCAAGAATTTTTGTTTTCATTTTGGAATGTCAAACTAATTCAATAATAAAAGAAATTAAGTCTATTGTAATTGTTTGTGTTTTGTTGCATTGAAAAATTTTAGTTGTTCTTATTTGGGAAAACAAAAATTTTACTAAATTATTACCAGACACTCATAATCTTTAAAGAAAGTTGAGTTAACCTTAAAAAATTGTTGATAGAGATATGTTTCTGATTAAAATATGTAACTTTGGTTCTAGCATGTCGATTAACCAGGGATAGATAGGAAAAACCTCAAAGTTAAAAATTATATTCAAAGGATCATATCTCGACACATCCTCATAAAAAGAGGTAAAATAAACTTCATTCTACGTAAAAAAAAAGGGATGTGATACTTCGAGAAGTTTTTTTTTAGAGTTTATAGCCTAAGATGGAAAACACTTAAAAATTAGTAAAAAAAAAAGAATCTTCGACATATTTTGATATGTAGTTGTCAACAAATAGAGATTGACAAGAAAATTATTCCAAGTTCAAAAGATGAAGAAATATGTCAAAATAACTGCAAAGCTTAAAGTAGTTACTATGTCCAACTAACAATTATCATTAATTATGAATCAACATTTATTGACAATTCTTACCAATTGAAAATCAAGAACACGGGAACTTATCATAGACAAAAGCGGTTGTCGAATAAGCACGATCATTAACGATAACGGTTATAGAAGAAACAAGTGCAAGGGGCTATTACTAAGAGATGTTTGCAAAAGATGAAGAATGTTTGAGTTGTATTTATTTATTTATAAATAATATCAAACTTTACATCTAAGAAGAAGATTTTTATTTTTTAATTTTTTACACTGAACACCAACACCCAAAATCTCTGCAAACCAAAGTTTTACGCATTAGTTACTCGAGATCAACGGACTTATGTTAATCGTTGCTAAGAGTTGTATGTTATATTTATGTAAAATTTACTTTAATGCAAATTTACTTTATAATTCCTTACATTTGTTTCAATATTATTTCATTGTACTTTTACTATTTTTACTTTAAGTCTTTACTTAATTACGTTAAGAACACACTTAAAAGAATTTTAAAAAAAAATAAAACTCAATCTTAAATTATTCTTAAATTTGTTTATTTATTATTTATAATTTTTAAACAATTGTTTGATACACTTTTAAATTTATATTTTATGGAAATGTAGAAATTTGATCAGAGTAACGATAAAAAAAAGAGAAAGGAAAAACATAAATTCCTGTTGAGCAAATAAAAAAGACATCATTCTTTTTAAAAAAGTAAAAATTCATTCATTGAGGGAGTTGAATTTGCAGATATTTAGATATGTTAAAAAGATATAATTATATAATTATATTTTGGTCTATATATTTTTAGTTTATATATATATATATATATATATATATATATCATAATAAATCATTATTATTATTATAGCCGTGCGTGGCGTGGGTTAATTATTAATAAAGCGGTTAATGTGTAATTAAAAGTTCAGTGTGAGCGATCACATTCCAACGACTTTGGCGCATGATTCCACCAAGTTGCAGTCCGTATTGAATCTGGCAGGATGACACAACTCTTGTTTTAATCGAGAACCTCAGAACCCCTCAACTTTACAAATACCAACAACATAAAATTGTTTAAGAGGTAGGAGAGAGTAACTAAGAGCATGAGTGAGGGCACTAATGACTACCTTTATAAAATTGGTATTTTACACGGAGATTTGTTGCATTGTGTGTTTGTTGTGTGGCTCGAAGTTGAAACCACTTATCTTTTTCTTCGTTGTGGTGCTGGTGGCTCCTGGGTAATAATTATCCCAACATCAAAATTTTGTTTGAATGTTGGTGTGAATTGTCAGTAAAAAGGATGAAAAAAAGGGTGGATTAGACTGTTTTTTTTCCCGATAACCTGGTGCATCTGGGGCTGAAAGAATAAAGCTATATATTTGAGAATGAATAAGAAGTGTTGATTCAGAAAATCCAATATCATTCGTCCAGGTGATTTAAGTAATCTTTTCATGTAAAGAAAAATGAAATATATTAAAAAAGGATCTTCAATCAAACATCATTTCAGCAATAATACTAAGCCCTTTGGAAGAATACTATTG